ACAGTTGACTTGTTATGATGCCGCTCATGTCCGATGATGACGTTGTTGACCAAAAAGCACCAAAAAACACCTTTGTCCGCTCTTCCAATGACTCTAATGTGTTGCGTGGGCAGTTTCTTAAAGTTGCGAATTATCAGTTAAGGGATTTGATTCAACCGTGGCACATTTTCTTAAAGATGAATTATTTCCCCTGTTGTCGTCTCATTATACGAAAAATGTATATCACATTATCGCATAAGTAAATCATTAGGACGTACAGATATTGACGTGCTTTCACACACAGCTTAGCTGAATTCGTCCCTCAGCTGTTCTACTTCCACTGGAGGCACCCGCGGGTGCTGGCTCAGTTTGGGAGCAGGGGGAACGTCTGCCGCGCCTCTTGGTGTACGCTTCCTGTCTTTAAACATCTGCTCCAGCGGCAACTTCGGGCGAACAATATGTCTTCTTTTACTTTTGTCTCTCGGACACATCTGCTGCTGTAAATGCAGCAAACGCTGTTTCTGACACGCAGCGTATGGCGGCTCTGCTCTCTCCTTAAGAGAAGACGGCCTTCTGAGTCGACTTTTTAGGCTTTTTGCCACGTTCTGCCACTTTTATTCAGTCGTTTAGCGATGAATGAAACCGCAAAATAAGTCAATTCCCTGAGCCGTTACAGGAGGCCGACTGATCGCCAAGACCAGCGCTACGAATGGCTGCTTAATAGTATTAGAACGAGCAAACAAGCTCACAGTAGAGTAAAACATTTATGTCACAGGTCTCCACTTTGATCTTGGTAAATGGAAATACGTGAGGTTAAACACAAAGCTGAAGAAAAGAGATCCTAATATTCCTGTATGATAAAAGCGTTCACAAATGTATTTTACTTTGTTATGTGCCATTAGGAAAAAGGCCCAAACATCCTTCTTGTATACGTTTTGACCATGTGACTTCCATTCATAGAGGTCAGTCAAGGCCCGAGTCCTTGCCTGGATCTTTCTACCTTCCCCATCCATTCAGTCTTAACTGATGAGTGTACATGTTTTGTACATGCGTGTACACATTTTCTTCTATCATCAGAAGCTGCTCAAAGGAACCAGAGTTCTCACTAACACTGCAGTGACACACACACACAGACACACACACTGTCATACATGTGACTCACAGGTCTGCGAGACCGTGTGTCTGGGCTGATAGTCGTATCAGAGAGCGATGGCGTGTTGGTGTGGAAGCGTGACGGGGATCGGATGTACTTCGATGTGTAAACTAGAGGCGGGACAACAAGCAGAACATTTTCATATCTTCATATCATACTGCTTTCTATCCTGGGCCACTATTCCTGTGGGCTAAGCTATGGTTTCATTCTCATTTATTTACTTCCTCTTCTCCATTCAACTTTTTCAACGTTTTCTCACTTTGGTCTGCTTAGTTTTTTTTCACGGTAAATAAACACTTGGTAGTCATAAAAGGCCAATTGATTAAGTTACTTACACTCATTAAAGACACTCAGATGTTTGTATTTTTATTGATTTTCTTACCCAGCAGCTGAAGATGGTGCGAAATCTGAACTTTCGAAGTAGTGTATTTCACAGAGAATAAGCCGGAGTGAGTTAACAGCTCCCCTTGGACATTGAATAAATCACTCCTTAAAAAGAGCAAAGGGACAATTTACAGCAATGTAGCTTTTGGAGGAATTGCCTTTTCCATCCGCACACTTTGTCGAAGTTTCTATACACAAGGCACAGGAGGTAATCAATGGTGATGCTCTGCAAGCTTCCTCGTGGCCTCCAGGAGCAATGAGAGCGATTAGTCCGGATGGCTGTTAATGGTAAAGTTCCTGCTGTAAATAACGCTGTAGGTGAATTACACTGAGATTTTTGCTTTGATAACATCACAGATAGAAAATAAGTCACAACGTGTCATATCGAGAGAGAGAGAGAGAGAGAGAGAGGGGAGGGGGGGGGGGGTTGCTTGTCTTTATGTATTATCTAAAAAAAGACGGACGAAGGAAGGAAAGTCTCACGGGACACTTGTCAGGCTTTGTTCTTCTCGGGTTTCTGAAGCAGTGAGGGACGCAGCCCCTCCCTCCTTCGGGCTCGTTGAGGGACATACGCCCCTTCAGACAGGAGCACCCCACAGTCTTGAGGGATTCAACATGGGAAACAGGGGCTACTGTTGTGTTTGTGCTTGTTTTTGTGTGTGTGTGTGTTTGGGGGGGGGGGGGGGGGGGGGGGTTGTTATGTGTGTTCATAATCCAGGCCATCAATCCACCTTTTCCCACAAACATCTAATTATAAGGTCAAGGTCACGGCGACCTCACTCCTTTTCTCGCCCCAAACCAACTCCAGAATTCATACCTTAAACGTGACGATTTTACACAAATGTCCATCAGGACAAAATGATGGTGGGGGGACATTTTGGACGGACATGGATGGAAAGTGACTGTTCGGGAGGGCCTGAAACAATACTTCAGCGCACTAGTTGTGATCTTGGCACTAAAAATCACATTTTCAGACTCAGTAATTCCACTCTTTTGTTAGCAGTCGCAGTCATAAAGTCCTTCAACCAAAAGATTCTTAAAACTAAAACTGTTCATTCTGTTCTTACAAACTTGACACACATACTATTTTAGCCATGATTAATGTTCCCTTGTCTTGACCCACTTCGGGAAGACTCCACTTTACATGTTTGACCTTTGCCTCGTGGAAAACAGCCCATTTGACATTCACTGAGGGAAATATGTGGCTCTGCTCCCCCGTGTTCACCAGCAGCGTTGAGCCGCTTCAACACAGCTTTTGCTTTAAGATGAGAACATACAGAACTTCTAAGTTGTGTTAAAATAAGTGTTTTAATAGCTGAAGTCACCTCAGTGGGCTGATGTAGTTGAGAGTGTCTGGTAGCAAAGTCGGTCTGTGAGGTCACCTCACACATCTCTGCACAGGAAAAGTCGCTTCGGGTGAAGTTGTATCAAGCGTTTCATTCAAATTTTCGTTCGTCTCAAATCTGCCGCGTGTTGTTGTTTTGTCATTTCTGATCGGATTGAAACGTCCTGCAATTTGTCAGAAAATAGTTCCTTCTGCAGTGTTTGGTTGTCACGCTTCAGATAACGTGTCAGCTGTGATCGTTGGCCGTCTGCCTCCGTCACTGACAGGCCTCTACTTTCTGTCACAGTGTCACAGTTTAGTTCGCTCCTTGTAATTTGTTGTCGATGCTTTTTTTGTATGATTGCCGCTAAGAATTTGTTTGATGTTCCATTAACAAGCATACGATTTGTGCTCTCTCTTGTTGGCTTTTTGGCCCGAGAGGAGAACTTAATATTCTTTTGCAGTATTGTTTTATTCACGTTTTATGTACTTTCTTTGCCGTCTCCTGGGTGAAGTGAATTTTCCTTTTTGTGGATTATCTCAAATTGCGGGTCAATTATGGAGGACGACAGAGGAAGAAACCCACCAAGCAGAACCATTGCTAGTTTTTTTTTTTTAAATATAATTATTTTATGTAACATCGAGCTGTTGAATTATGAAAGAGGGGGAATGCCCAATGTGCACACACACACACACACACGAGCACACAGTGTTTGGTGCTTAGGGACATAGACACACTAGACTCGAACAATGTCTACACTTACTCACTTACTTTGTTTTTCAGACGTCTCACTTTCCCTCCGTAGCAAATAAACAACACACAACCGGTCAACCGGGGAACGTTTTCCTCGCCGTTAGAATAAACCAAGACGCGTTTGTTCTGAGCGAAACAGGAAAATAAAGTGAGTTTCCAAGTTTTCACCAGAGGCTTTTTCCCGTTGTGCAAATAACCGCATGTTGTTTACACACTCACAGGCGCATCGAGGCAAACGTACGTGCGGAGAGCATTTCTAGGGACGGGCGTGGCATGTTTGCTGTTTGCAGTTTTTGGCGAGACATGAAGCAAAACAAGCAAAAGAAATATTAATGAGAGAGACACAAGAGGATTGGCAGGGTTTTATCTCCCTTCCGCGTGGAGGAAAAAGTTGTGTGTTGGTATTTGTTGTTTGTCGTAGAGCAACTGCATGTCTGTGCGTGAAGCGCGTCGATAAACTGAGGGAGGGTCTCAAAGTGATAACTAGAGCAAAATACATCGGGACGGATTAGAGAAAGAGAGGAAGAGGAAGAAAGTAAAGGAGATTAACCATAGGATGCATTGTTGGGGAAGGGTGGAGGAAGGTACATAGGGAAGGAAGAGAGGGAGGAAGGCAGGGAAGGAAATCACAGAGGGATGGATGAAAGACTTTAGGAGGACGTGAGGAAAAGAGATGAAAGAGGAGATCTGGTGGGGGAAATAAAGGTGACGAGGGAACGGTGCAGCAGGAGGAGTAGAAACAAGGAGGACATCTGGGCGGGATGAAGGGAAGGGGCGGGGCTTCTAACGGAAATCCAAAGGAAATGATGACGTAGAAGCACAGCCGGAGCCAAGAGAGGAAGTCACCCAGATTAATGGAGCACCAGGACGGGAAAGAAGAGGCAGCCTTAATCTAATTCAAGGGGGGGGGAATGGAACTGGAGAAGGCAGAGGATTAGGGAGGCCACATTTGGGTGGGACATTTAGCAGGTTTAATTTGTTTGTGTACTGAGGAAAAGGAAGATAAAGTGAACGTGAGGATGGAAAGTAGCATTTGGGGATGAAAAAGGACAAGAAACAGCACAAGAAGAACTGAACAAACAATTACATTATAATAAATTGTCTGTTTCTTGTCGCTTTTCTCATGAGCAAAGTGGCTTTGTGTGAACTAGATCTCATCTCCGGCACCGCATACATCGGATTGGTCTTCCATGCAGCTTTCTCAAATGTTAACTTTGATAAGACCTTCTCCTGTCAATCCTTTGTCCCCAAAATGAACCACGGGAGGCGGCCCCACGCTGGCAGGATCCATTTAAAACGGCAAAGAAATTCCAAGCAGCGCAAATTCAATCATGGCACTCGTGCGACCTTTAACCTCTCGTCCTCTTCTCACTTTTCGTTGTGTCTCTCCTCCTCCCTCCCTGCAGGGTGTGGTTCCAGGCGGGCATCAACTTCCTGGCTGTGAAACCCAGCAACCTGGTGGCGTGGGAGATCAAACAGGAAATGGCGCCGGGATCGCTGGCGGTGATTTGCCAGCGAAGGGCGTCCTCCACGTCCGAGAGGTAGGACCGCGGCGCGGCTGCTGCACGTTGCTTAGTTTGTGAGCAGGATTGATGAAAAACGACTGTTGCTGCGCTGTAGCACGGAGGGGGAAAATAACCTTTCACAGTTTGTATTGGATCTAAATCAAAGGGCGGATTTACACACATTCTTTTTGACGCGTGGCCTTGTTGAAGGTCTCCACTCTCTGGTTCTTCCCGTCTGGTTCCTTTTTCTTTGTATTTGTCTGTGCAGTAAATATCTGTCTGCTTATTCTGCACCAAGGAAAAGCATCTTCATTTGCGTACAATATTATTTGGCAAAAAAGAGAGTGAAGGATTCTGCAGCGGGGACCAATTAGCTGTTTGTTATTATTATTATTTCTTATTCAGGTGAGACACCAAAGACGAATACTTTCATTTTATGAAGGGCTCAGTTTGGATATTTCTCTCTATTTTCCTTCAAATTAGAGGAAAGGAATCACATGCAAATACACATTTGCAAAAGGCAAAAGACGACAACCATACAGCCAAAAGTAACAATGTTGATTTAAACTCATGCGGTGACGCTTGGACACGCTCACTTCTCCTCAACCAAAAACCTCAAGTGATCAACGCCCGCGTCGCAGCACAAACCGGGCGGATGACAAAACACAAAGAGGGCGAAGTCCTCTGCCTTCCGTCTTTCGCTCTGTGAAGAGGGTGGAAACCGAGAAACGACTTGACTGACTGGCCTTCAAAAGTAGAAAGCAATTACGTTGTTGGCACCTGGAGAGAAAACAACGTTGGAAGAGAGAAGGAAAAGGCAGAAAGGGAAGAAAGCAGACGGGGCCGCCGAGGCGCTTCGCCTTGTGACGGCGCCTTGTTTGCATATTTAAATGTTGCAGTCAGAGGCCTCATTTATCATTCAGAGCCTGATTCATTTCTTGAACAATTTATTCCTAAAAAAAATTGTTGTTAAATAAAGAAAATATCATTATTGCCTCTTTGAAAGTATTTGACCCGAACTTTCAACACAATAAATAAACATGGGTGCCTCATTTGCATATTCAGACACACATTTTTGTAACACTTTTCAACAGCGGGGGAAGTCGCATGGCAGAACTGATCCGTAACGTTTGTGTCTGCATCCTCCAGGTAGCGATACATTCATATTTATTATGAGTATAGCAATAATAGGACAATGTTTAGGTGTTCGACATATTAAGGAATGTTCAGCCTGTTCCCAGTAAGTCCTCCATGTGCACGCGGGGGGGCTGGCGAGTAGCAGTGGAAAGCACTGACCCGTCACGCTACATTTGCCATTAACTTACTCGCTCTGCTCTTGTTCCGCCGGGTATGTTTGCGTGTGCACGTGGATTTGTGCCCGTGAGTTTGGGTCAGGAGGGTAAAAACCAGCAACGGCAGAGTAAATACTACCTGTTCGTTATTTTCTCTCCAATGTGACGGTTCATCAGCACTCGACCCGAGTGCAGCGGTGGGAGGTTGTCGCCGTGTCGATAAAAATAATAACAAAGACGGTTTAAATTTGACTCTGGATGAGACGGGGAGGGAGGGGGATAAGGAGATTACTGTTTTGCTTAAAGAAGATAAAAATAAGATGGAAAACAGACTGAGGTTAACAGAGACATATTGATTCAACGGGCAATAGAAAATAGTGCAGATGTAACACAGTACATGGAATGCTATTGATGAAGGAGATCGTGACCGCGGTTTGACCCACACACAAGCGGCCCCCTTCCAGCTCTGTGATTGACAGCGGGGCCGAAAAGTTGTGAATTGACTAAATGTGGACTCCAAATGTTCATTGCACCTTTCATGTCACACACCTGCACACATTCACATGCTTGAATCTGCCCTGCACTCAAATGCAGCACAGAACACACACACACACACACGCATTGGTCGGAGCAGAAAATACTGAATGTGTGATATTACACACCGGTGTAATTTTTGCCAAATATAGAGTGTGTCTGTTTGCACATGTCTTGGTGTCAGACAGCTGGAAAGCTTTCGACCAATAAACACAGATGAGATCCCACCGTCTCTTTCTTTCTCCATCCATCTTTTCCTTTCAACCTTGTGATGGAGTGACTGAAGTGCGCACCCCCCCCCCCCCCCCCCCGCCCCTCTTTTTCTGGTGGTTGAGGACAATGGTGAGGAAAGAATTGCCTTTGCATGAAACTATATAGCAGGACCCGGCGCGGTGATCACCACTTAGCTCGCCGTTAGCCACGTCCAGCCTTGACTGACGACCCGAACGTGGCAACTGAGGGAAATAAAAGTGATGACACAACAGCTTTGAACTTTCTCATTAAGAGCAGGAGGGAAAAGTTTTCCGTCGTAGGTTTTTTAAGACCGTACAGGATGATGAAGTACGTACCCAGGTTAGTTTGGAGCGACATCAGAACGCCTTTGGGAATCATACGTTTAATTGCTGAGCCCGACTCCCATCGTCAAGCTGTCCGTCCCCCTGCAGCGGTACACAATCTACTTGATGGTGATGGTGGAATATTTGCCATTCAAACTCAAAAGGTTTTCACTGACAGAGTAACATTATGCGAACATCGGGTCCACGAATTGATCGCAACTCGTTTCATTACAGAACCAGTTGAATTGACTACTTCTACCTTTGATATTTTGATGCATCACAAAAAAGGAGCCTAGAAGATCCGCTCGTGATGCGACGAGCACAAATATACACACGCGTTGATTTAAATGCATGCATCAAAACAGGCCGGAACACAAACACGCGCACACACAAGAACCACGGCTGAGACAAGGCCGGTGTGTTTCCCTCGCTGATGAAACAGGAATGCAGGCTACACATGGAAGAGACACACACACACACACACTCATAGTACATGCCAATCGTTGCCAGCTTCCAGGCGGCAGGATCACAGGCTTTATCAGCGATTGCGAGGGCGGGACGGCTAATTAAAAGAGCTGATCTGTATTAATCTCTAATGAGATATTACCGGTTGAGACGTGAAACAGCGTCGTGCGTTTCTTTATGAATGAAAGGGCGGAACGGTTGCTTCCTCTGACAGTGGATCTTGCTTATTGATTCCTGCTAAAGCATTGTCGCTGTGTGATGTGACGCGACCGGACGTGATACGGCGCTGGGTGCACGCGTGTAATAGGCGCTGTGCGGAGAGGGAATGCAGTCATTAGAACAGAGGCGTAGGACTGGCTGTGTGTGTGTGTGTGTGGGTGTTTTTTTCTTGTATTGTGCGTTTCTGTGAGGCGGGTGCGTGTATGCTGTCTTACATGTGTAATACTTTAGTGTAGTATGTAGGTTGACAGTTATATGTGGACAAAATGGGAAACAATTGTTTCCACGGGTGTTAATTACGGTTCCGTCATCACACTCACCAATGGAAGCCTTTTTCCATGAAAAAACCTGTACAACGTTTTGATCAGTTTTCAGCGCTCATTTGTTTCTTTCATTGATTATGCAGTAACATCCATTTTTTGGCCGATTCTCGGTATTCGGCCAATCTGATGTCACTTCGCTGTCATTACACAGCACCGTCCTCTCGGAAGTTGTTTTCTGACTCGTAAATTTCCTCTATGTTCTTCTCGCTCTGTGTAAGCTGTTCTGTCACTTTGCATGAGGAACAAACGGGCAGCGGGACGAGCTCGGGACGACCTTTGTCCGTTCTGTTGAGTAATACGAGGAAAACGCACCGTAGTTTGAGCGCGGCTGATGATCCCAGAACGGCAGCAGCGCTCCACATCGTGATCATGATTAGATCTATAGATTATCACTAATGGGCCCCGTTCGATGGCCCAACTGGGGTAATGCACTGCCCGCACTCCGCACAGAGACATGCTATTCGTCTGCTTGTGTGTGTGTGTGTGTGTGTGTGTGTCTGTGTCTGCGAGTGCACGTGCTGAACTGTGCTTCCCAAGTTTCCTGCAGTTAGTTCAGCAGAAGCCGAACCACAAGCGCTGCAGAAATACATCACTTTCCAAAAGAGTGATGACACGTTTCAACATGAGAGGTGCCAGTTAGTGAATAGTTGAGGCGTTAACACCACGGGCCACATTATGAAAGCTTGGTTGGTTCAAAGAGTTGATTCTATGGTGAAGACAAAGAAGCGCAAAAAAGCGTATGTACAAGGAGATCGTCGGTTAATTATCATCAATAATGTTGCGTAACCAATTTTTAATGTTTTAGCATCAGGGCAGAAAACGTCATCCTTTGTTTACTTCTACATGTAGCGCGTTGTGTATTATGTGGCCACTGTGGACAAATTGTAATAAGACATCCAAGATCCAAAGTAATCATGTAAACACACTCCCAGAATTCACATGTTCAGACACAGCAATGACATTTTTAACCCTAACAAACCTGTTGTAAACCTGTAAAGTGTACCAACATTCACATGTTCAGGTAATCAGGAGTTCAAATACTAATGCAAATATGTGCAAACGGGACGCTAAAAAGAAGACGCATGTTGCTTTACACGGCGTGTGTGTGTGTGTGTGTGTGTGTAGAGGATGGTGCGTTTGCCCTTTTTTAAAATAAACCATTACAATGTCCAGACTACTGTTGGCTGTGAAATACAAAGATCTCTCAGTCTCTGATCGATTCTGTCGAGTCAATCTTCTGTGTGCAACCTTCCAAACATTCTTGGATCCTTTCATCTTCTGAAGGATGCGCTAAACAAAGGCCGCTGCAAACAGAAACACACACACACACAGGTATGAGGATTAAGACGTATTAGTGCTAGTTTTAGTTCAAACATCAAGTGCGGGAGATGCAGGTTCCGGGGTTAAGTGTTTGGTTTTAGTCGTTTGCAAAGACAAACTAACCCAACGGGGAGCTTTTGTTTTGAGTGCTTGTCCGTCTCCCTGGGATACACAAACTAACACACACACACACACACACACACACATGTGGACGTGGGGCCACGACGTCTGCAGCCTCCGTTTGCAGACATGAGGATTAAGAACACCGCAGCAGAGAGGAAGGATAGGAAGAGAGGTTTCTCTGCCAACAGGAGAGGGAGAGAGGG